TACAAAAGATTTCTATTTCAAATAAATGCAGTTCTTTTGAACTTTATTCATCAAAGAATTGTGAAAAAACTCAAAAACAAGAAGCAGCAATTGTTGTCAACATTGATCATAATAAGAGATGTTTCTTGTGCATCAAATCAGCATATTAGAATGATTTCTGAAGGATTACATGCCACTGAACACTAGAGTAATGATGCTGAAAATACAGCTTTGCCATTACATGAATATTAGTGTTGGGCGATATGGTCATTTTTCAAATGGTCATATGGCCAGCCCGTGAGATTGCCGATACACGATATTGTCGTGCGTGCGTGGGTGGGGGCAAGAGAGAGCCTATGAAAGCACCAATAATCGAAATAATATACTTCAAACATACTGATAAACTAACATGTTAAATATAAAAAAATTAAAAATAATTAAAACAGCTATTTCATATATATTCGGATACAACAGTCATACATCGCTATTAGGACCGCAAGTCCTGTGACAAGTTTGCCGCATCAGTGCACGGAAGTTATCAGTCTAAAAGGTCTTCAGTCAACGGTGAAAATCAAAAGTAGATTTATTTTAAAGACCAACAGTTTAACACTGAATATTGGACATAAACGAGCATGTTAAATATAAAAGTATTTAAAACAGGCAAGTTCATATATTTGGAGTAAAGTTAAATTGAACGGATAAATCAGTCATACAGCGGCTCAAGCCCCGTTCACACTGCCATTGACTTCTTCGCTGTATGTCGCTAAACTCTGTGCTGTAAAGACGCTTGTGGGCGTTCCTACTGCGGTCACTCTAATGTTATTGGTAGACTGCACGTCTGGACATATCTGGACATATAAAATGCAATCACAAACTGTATATTGCGGGTAAAACTAAGATATCATTCTAATATGACTAGGAATTAGACTTAAAAGAAATAAAAGCACCATTCTGCTGTTGGAGAGTGTCGTTATATAAACTACAGCAGGGCTCGAGCATTAAATCATTAACCGGTGCTAAACTGCTCACTGCATCATGTAATTAACAACTCGAACCATCAATGTATGAATCAAACTCACTTAGACAGCCAACGGTTTCTTTCCTATGCATTATTTTTATATCCATGCATGTGGTTACAGTAAAATCATATAAAACAGTGAAATCGCTCAGGTGCATCCCTAGTTCTGGAACAGTGTTGTAAATACAGCTTGATCACTGATTTCTAGTCGTGTCCATTTTTGGAAAGCCAAACAAAGTAGTTTCGCTTTCACAACGAAACACAGCGTCACACACGGCAGCCTAGCGTGAGTGGCGGGAGACTTTAGTCTTCTTTAGTCTTCTTATGCACCAAGAGCTTGTAACACTCCAAAGAGAAAGGAAAAATTGAAATCGCATCATATGACCCCTTTAACTTTTGTGCTTGACTCGCATCGCTTGACACGCACACTGTCGCCAACGGTCACTGTCGCCGGAAGTCGCCAGCTCTCCATTGAAAATGAATGGGAGCATGTCGCTTTGTTGCGCTGGCAGTGTGAACGGGGCTTAAGCTGTCACCACACACATTATAGAACTTTTTGAATTCTCCCTTCAAGGCAAAATATTCTAGATCAATGGTAAAATGTATTTATTTATTTTAAATTAGTGCACAAGATTATTTGGAGTTATAAGGCCTTTTTTCACTGGGTTGACTACCAATAGCTGGCATAATGGACCATTTGTCCATTATAGATTTTATCAAGGTTTGCTATTCAATAATATAGATTAAGGTGTAAATATTTAATTAGAACAAATGTTCAAAAAGTGTCAAACTATGAGAGAGATTTTATTAAAAGCCTACTTGTTCAAAGTAAATCCCAAAGACAAAACAACAACAAAAGATAAATTCATATAGGGCTGCTCCCTGATAGTCGAAGAGAGCAGGCTTAGTTGATCAAAATTTTATTAGTCGCTCAGGGAAAAAAGAATCACAGAAAGTGGTGAAGTCACGTAGTCTGTTACAGAGAGATTATTAACAGCTGGTCTGTGTGGTAATTACAGTACATCAGTCAGGACATGCAAATGTTTACTTTGTTCATCGACCTCAAATGTGGCTAATCATCTGAAACATGTAAGTAGTAGTATCATTAAACAAGAATGAAATGCATTCTAAAATAACTGTGGCATTAAACTCAGTTAGAAAACTCAAACATCTTCCTTTCATCTGCAGCTTCTGCTTGGCCAATAGCTGAAACATACAGCGTAAACTGTTGTTTGAAAGTCCGCCAATTTGCGTCAACATTTCCACACAACTTCAAAGAGCCAGGTGGTTTAATTGCATCCATGGCGTTCTTCAAACCCCACTCCTGGTACCATGTATTATTCAATAACCAGACAAGAAACCAATATAAAGTGTTATTACCGGTGCTGGTGTCTTTATTCCACGTGGAACATTCATCATATACAAATTACCACATTTCTCCTTAGCAAATGCACTTAACTTTATACAATCCATTACTGCCACCTAGTGGACTAAACATCCCACTCATTACAGTGAGGGCTCGGTTAAAATATTGCACATATATAGGCCGTTCAGATTACTTGTAAAAATGCAATGAAATACCTTATATCAGCAGACGATGTACGTCTGTTTGTGGTTGGAGATTCCTTCACCGGCTACAGGCTCTAATCCTCATTTGCACGAGTGTGAAATGTGGTGCTGAAGTGAAATAGCGGGGTAATTTGATAATACAGCCCTCTACGAACACCTTGGCAACTGAATCGCCATTGGCTAGTAAATTTTTTTTGTTTACTCGCCAGACTGATAAATAAATAAATAAATAAATATATATATATATATATACAGGTGCATCTCAATAAATTAGAATGTCGTGGAA